ATCTTTCCATGATACTCAACTACTGCAGAGTCAAACATATGACCAGGCAGGCTGCTCCATGCCTACTGACTTACAGTGACTGTTTGCAGATTTAGAGCCTATGCACTACTAATGAATGACAGCCGAAGTTTCTCTCCAATTGAGGTCCAGATTTTGACACCAAAGTTTGCTGATGAAAGCATTCTAGTCAGCTGATATCCAGCCAACAAAATGAGAGGATAGAGGGCTGTTCATATGCTGACCTACATTTACTCAGCTAAAGAGCAGAATCATAGATTACACACTCAGTTCACATGTAAAACATGCAATATTATGTATCCAAGTCCACAATTAAATTCTAGCCTAAAAGCTACTGAGAACCCACTGGCGTTTCTTTGAGCCATATCTGCCCTAGGAGTAGAAGGAACTTCCATTTCAAGGTACAACTTATTCCTTCCAGCTTCTTGACAACTGACTTACAACATGCATCAAAGCTTCCTAGTTTGGCAGCAAGATAAAGAGTCTGGATGTAAAAGTCTTGAAATCATTTAGAAAGATATTCAATCCCTATACCAGCCTTCCTCCTTCTCTCTCCTCCTTTCATGTACAAAAACCCCCAAAGAAACACAGAATGTTAATAGATTTCACAGTATCGTGACTCTGGCTTCCTCTCATCTTGAGATTGTATTTAATTTCATATTTAGATGCAAACATACTGCCAGAGTAAACAAGGTATTTTAGACACACAGAGAACCAGTAGAATCATCAGACTGACTATCTGAAAATTTAGAAGAAAACAAGGGAAATGTCTCAAATATATACATGTTCTACTTAAAGAGTCATGATATGTAGGATAACCTAATCCCCTCCCCCATACAAGTAAATTAATCTATTACAAAAGACTATAATATTGGCTTATTCTGCTTGAATATACTGTACTTAACTGAAAATTGTACTCTTCAAAAGAGACTGATTGCCATAGTCTCTAAGTACATAGGCAACACTGTTCACACAAACAAGGAAACTGGAAGCAAGATTAATGAAGGTATCTTTGTAAGTCAGCTTCTGAGAAGAAACTGTTCTACTTCGGATTTAAAACCTGACTGAAGACTAAAACTATCTCACTGACTAAAGGCAGCAATCTAAATTTTTGTAGCTGGTTTGGAAAAAAAGGCAAGCTACTTGACAGTTGACTGGGGAAGCATTTCCATATGCAGTATTAAGCAATACTCCAAGAAACAATAACTGCAAATAGATGCATACACAAACTCAGAATCAACACTGACATCACATAATTGCTCTTGCAGCAACTATGTCCTCAGTTCATCAGAGCTGAGCAACGACCCTCATACCTATAAAAAGCAGCCTGGGGAGCACTGCCAACAGGGTGGGCCAACAGAGCATGGCACAGCAGTTTTCATGAAAGGGCACACAGGAAGGATGCAGTCGCCCTATTAGCTCAAGAGGGGAGTTCAATTGGTGGTCATCACCCTCTCAATGAGCTTAGCTATGGTATCCACCCAGCAGAAAACCATGCCCTCTGCACTTGCCAGAATGGATATGGCAACCCAGACAGAGCTCCCATGAAAAGATGCAGCCCCCCAGGTCTCAGGCGGCAGAGAGTGCCAGAGCCTCTCACTGGTAACGGACTGCAGTAGTGAGAACAGTTGCGTGAGGTGTGACCAGGTGGACAATCTGCTCATCTTGGTGGCAGAGCTACAAAAGGAAGTAGAAAGGCTGAAGGAGCATCAGGGAGTCTGAGAAAGATAGACTGTTGGAAGCATGCTCTGCCCTCCCTGAGACAGAAACAGGAACGGCAACCAGAAAAAGAAACAGGATCAAGGGGACCTTCTACCCTCCCCTCCCCAGACTGAAGGCAGTGACTTGAAGGAAACGAGTGAATGGAGGCAAGTCCATGCTTGGGACAGCAGGCAAACCCCCTCCTTGCCCACCTCACCTTCCCAGATGCCTCTGTACAACAGGTATGAGGCTCTAGATGTGAAGGTCAGTCAATGGATGATGGTCCATCTACACAAGAGGTGTCACCAAGGTCAGAAAGGCCCAACCCCCATATCACAACTGCCTCCACAAAGAAGAAAAGCCAGGTTATAGTTGTAGGCAACTCCCTTCTGAGGGGAACAGAGGGACCTATATACCAGACAGACCCTCATCTTAAGGAAGTCTGCTGCCTCCCTTGGGCCTGGGTTAAGGACATCGCAAGGAAACTTTCTAGCCTGGCATGGCCCTTGAACCCATTGCTGTTTTTCCATGTGGGTGGTGATAAAGCCACAATGCACAGTCCAAGGGTGATGAAAAGAGACTTCAGGGCCTTGGGACAGTTGGTAAGGCAATCTGGAACACAGGTTATTTTTTCCCTCTCTCCTTCCAATTGTGGATAGCAACACTGGAAGAAACAGGCACGCCCAGTCTATTAATACATGGCTCCATGGCTGGTGTCACTGCCACAGTTTTGTTTTTTTTATAATGGGATGGCCTACATGGCACCAGGCCTGCTGGCGTCAGATGGGATTCACCTTTTTCAAAGGGAGAAGAGGGTCTTTGCTAACAACCTAGCAGGACTCATTGGCAGATGTTGAAGCTAGACTTGAAGGGGGAGGGGGGATAATATCAGGCTTGCCCATGACAAGCTGTGGGATGACATGCCAAGGTTAGAGGGACAGGGTGCTAGCGAGGGCCCTCAGCCTGTTGCTCTGAGACATGCTGGCTACGCTGCAGCACACAAAGTCTTATGGAGATGAGCCAGGGGCTCCCAAGGTAATAGGAGCCAACAGGGAAACACCAGTGAAATACCTCAAAGGAATTAAGGGGTGTTCCTCTAAGAAGGTGACAGGGCCAACAGCCCAGCTGAAGTACTTCTACACCAAGAGATTGAGTGTATCCTCAACAGGTTTGCAGATGACACCAAGCTGAGTGGTGCAGTTGATACACCTGAGGAACAGGATGCCATCCAGAGGGGCCTGGACAAGCTGGAGAAGTGAGCCCCTGTGAACCTCAGGAGGTTCAACAAGGTCAAGCACAGGGTCCTGCACCTACGTCAGGGCAACCCCTGGTATGAATACAGGATGAAGGGATTGAAAGCAGCCCTGCAGAGAAGGACTTGGGGATACTGGTGGATGAAAAGCTGGACATAAGCCAGCTATGTGCACTCGCAGTCCAGGAGGCCAACCGTACCCTGGGCTGCATCAAAAGCAGCGTGGCCAGCAGGTCGAGGGAGGTGATTCTGCCCCTCTACTCTGCTCTGGTGAGACCTCACTTGGAGTACTGCATCCAACTCTGGAGCTCTCAGCACAGGAAGGACATGAAGCTGTTGGAGCGGGTCCAGAGCAGGGCTACAGCACCTCTCCTATGAGGACAGGCTGAGAGAGTTGGGGTTGTTCAGCCTGGAGAAGAGAAAGCTGCAGGGAGACCTTAATGCAGCCTTTCAGTACTTAAAGAGGGCTTATAAGAAAGATGAGGACAAACGTTTTAGCAGGGCCTGTAGCAACAGGATAAGGGGTAATGGTTTTAAACTAGAAGAGGGTAGATTTAGACCAGATACAAGAAAGAAATCTTTTACAATGAGGGTGGTGAAACACTGGAACAGGTAGCCCAGAGAGGTGGTAGATGCCCCATCCCTGAAAACATTCAAGGTCAGGTTGGACGGGATCTGAGCAACCTGATCTCGTTGAAGATGTTCCTGTGCATTGCAGGGGCATTGGACTACATGACCTTCAAAGGCCGCTTCCAAGCCAAACCATTCCATGAGTCTATCATTCTATGACTTCTCCCACATTTGCAAACAACAGGGCTGCACTGCAGTCAGACACACAAGTGCAGACCACACACTCCTAAGAAACTTACTGAGGAAGCAGCAGCAGCCAGAGGAGCCACTGCTATGGGAATTCCAGAATAAGCTACTATAGCTTTGCTGCAAAGAGTGCCTGGTGCATTTATACCTGCAAGAGCAATTCCTCCCAACTGCCCTGCAGAGTGTACAGTGTAACTGCTGTGTTTTTGTTGTACATACTCACTAGTAAGATTTCCATTAAACATCTGTAATCTGCAATGCAGAACTGCTTTCATCACACTTCAAAGAAAGCCAACAAGACGGCATCAGTTACACTTGCAGATTCTGTTTATTTTGGCATAAGGGACATGCAAGCTGTTCAAACTAGCGACTCTTGAAGAGTAAGCAAGAATAAGAATGAATCTTGTTTATCCTCATGCTTACGGAAATTTTGTACAAGAGAGGGAACTGAGTTTCACATACTCTCTGAGGAATTTTGTTCTGGGGTTAGATCAGTTTATTTCTGCAGCGTAAGGCTGAAATGCACAAAACACCCATTGAAAGAAAGAATAACCCAACGGAGTTTTAAGTGGGTAGTATCCAGCTGTGCTTGTACGGAAACTCTGGGCACTTCCTGATCATGGAGAGAAAGTATTGTCAACACATTCATGAAAGATGGAGAACTCCTCTGCAGATGAGAAGACATGCAGATGCACACCACTGAAATTCATTGATTTTAACAGCCCAGTGACTACATTGAGAGCTCAGGCTCCTTCTGCAATCAGTGAAAACAGATCAACCTCTGAAGGTTCCTACCTATGAAACCTCTAGCGATTTCCCAGGGTGACCTGGATATAGTGATGTAAAGCAGGGTTCAGTTACATACTTTGAGTCCCATGTCACTTATCCTTTCTTTCTGAATCAAGATTGCTCCCTAGTATAGGCATCATCAAGCAGAGATCATAAAGTGCCAGGCACACAAAAAAAAAAAAACAACCAACTTTTCAAAGTGCTGTGCTACTTCATGCAACACTTCCCGATTTCATCTTCATCATTAAACTGCAACTTTATCAGTCATTTATTCACACAAGGTAGCTTAGCTACTATACCTTAAAAGAACAGCAAAGACAAACTCAGGTACACATACCAATATGCTCTAGAGCATCAGAGTTGAGATGAAACCTCAGCTCATCTTAAAAGCAGTGATGTAGTTCAACTTAGGCCTCCAACTTACCACATTTTTAAAGTCATCCTCTGCTTCATCAAATTTTCCTTGCTTGAGCAGTAAGTGTCCTCTCTGTAATCTTGCCTGAAATAAAACAGAAGAATTTCTTTTGATTTACAAATTGGAATTCAGCAAAGTATGAAAATAAGCTTCAGTTTCCCTTAGCAGCAAAAAAAAAAAAAAAAAAAAAAAAAGGTTCATTTTACTACAGCTAACATGCTGAAACAGAGATCACAACACCCATTCTTTGTCTTCTCAATTTGTCGATGTTCTTATGAGACCTCCTTGGTAGTAAAGGATCACTCTGCACTAGAACTGAGGGACAAAAAGCAGCCACAGATTTTATGAGCAGTTGCAACTCACAGAAAGAACTCATTCGAAGAGTTGCATAAAACAAAGTGAATGTTTACCTTGCATCACTTTCCAGATTGTAACTGCTTATAGTTTTTAAGAAATTAGCAGAAATAATAAACATTCTCCACATTTAATTCTTTCACTAAATGTTCAGAATAATAGACGCTATATAAAAACACAAGTAAATGATTTAGAAGATTTTTCTTTATGATAAGAATGTTTTCATCAACAATGAATTTAACATTTGCTCCTTCATTGTAAACTATACAGGACATGCCACTGCCCACGGAAAAGAGAGATGAGAGAATGAGATGGAGAGGACTTCAGCAGTCTCCAACTAGCAAGGCAGTCTCCACATACAGTAAGCAGGAGTGAGCAAGAGGTACGTAAATCTTAACTTGCAACAATCCCATAGGAAGGCAGTGAGATTAGGACAGTTCCTGTGGAGAAATGCCTCAAGTCAAATGCTGATTAAGACAGAAGAAAAACAGAGGCATCTGTGTGCTGCCTTCCCTCCCTCACTCTCAGAGGGCAGAGCCTTAGTGATTGAGAGAATAACCACAAGCAAGAGAAGGGAAGTGTTTAGCACAAACCCATGAGGAACATGGACTTAATAAAACTACTATTAGTTGTCAAAATAACTGGCTAGACTGTACTCAGCATAGTTGCAAATGCAAGTACATACACCATTGCTATTATTTTATCCTATTTAAAGCCTTCTGAGTGATAATGTATTTTCTATTTCTGTTTCGCAAAATCTGAAAAAGCAACCTTCTTTGAAGCAGGGTTTTTTTCTTACGCTTGAACAATCTTCAATTCCAGTAATACTTACTGATGTGAAGTCCTGCTTTAATTCAACCACCTTACTTAAATCACGAATTGCTGCTTTAGATTTGCCCATGGCTAAATACACTGTGGCTCTTCTGTAATAAGCAATGTAGTTATCAGAGTCTCCCTCTGCAAGTGAATGAACAGTAATCAGAATACTATCTCAAAACAACTGTAACTTTGGGTACAGTGAAACTGTAATGACTAAAAATATATTACCTGAATTTTAAGCCACTGGAAAAAAATGGTAATTTATTAATAAAACATAACATTTGTAACATTAGCCAAGCAATATTTTCTATGCAGTTTATGTAACAATAAATATTATAGAAATACAGTAAATGCCAAATAATTAAGAGTACTGAAGCTGAAACACGTACATGTTTTTCAGCTTTGTACAGGAAAACAGCCACCACATACTAACCCTTTATCTTCAGCTGCAGGCCTACATTTGAAAGCATGTTCATTCATCATTCTCCATCCCAGTCCCTGTCCATCATACAGGATACAAGCAAATAATCCCCAAATGACCAATATGTTAGTCCAGTGCCACGACAGACACATAAACCCTTCACACCATCCACTGAAATAGCAGCAACTTCTGTCTTTAACATTCAAGTGGACACCAACACCCCCTCTCAATGGCAGACAAACACACATACATTATCAAAACCTGAAGGCTAACTTCAAGGCCTACACACTCCATGTTGTCTGCTGGTCGAAGTACCAAGATCCAGCAATTTTAACACTCTCTAGGCTGACACATATATGTACACCCTTACAGGAGACAAATATCAGTCTCTGAAACCAAAAATTTTCTTAATGTTCTTCTCTGTGCAGTATTTCAAAGAAAACAGATGACAGTTACTATGGGCTCTCAAGGAAAGGTAACTTAGATCACCCAACCATCCATATGCAGTGGAAGACAGTAAACATTTTACTGTGCTATTAAAAAAAAAAAGTCATCAATCCAGAATCTGTAGACAAGAACATCCATATCTGAGGAAGAAAACAAGGATTTATCTTCCTCGCCTCATTTGAGGTTAAAGGTGAATAAATGGAACAAATAGCACAGCCAAAAAAAAAAAAAAAAAAATCTTAGTCGGAAGCAGAGCTTCATAGCTGGCCACCTCCATTACCACAACACTAGTTCAGTTCTCACTGGAAAAGGTATCTGCACTCTTTCGCTACAACGTCTTGGCTGTGGAAATGCTAACATCTAGCACTGAAATTTAATAATAACTCCCATGCTTGTATGCCAGCATTATGGACATCAAGTAAATCCAAATGTTACTACCTTTAAAAAAAAGGAAGTATTAAGTCCTACTGCATGCAACTAAATGTGTAGAGTAGGCACAAATCAGTAGCTGACATTAAGGAACTCCATTAATATAGAAACGATGAAAGACAGGAAAGAGCTAACCCAGAAAGCACATCCCAGCACCAGACTGATTTTTCTGACAGTCAGAATATGGTTCTTCCTCAGTTCCCCAGTAACAGTAATGAACAACAATTGACATTTACTCAGAGAGAAGGCATAAGCCATCAACTTGACGGGACTGAAGACAGAGTTGAAAATTTAACTGAAGAGAGAGAAAACGGACAGTAGCTTTCTTTTATTTTAGATGTTTGCAAAAAAGAAAAATAGGCTGGCTGAGGCAAGACAAAAAGATCTATTTACCACAGTCTACAATGCTGCAGTACAGGCAAAAAAGGATTAGAGAAATTTCTTCTCCCCTCCTCTACAAACACAAATTGTGCTTAAAATCTTTTCAAAAAGGCATAATACAAAAAAAGAAAAAGAAGTCTGATGGAAGTTTAGTCAATCAAGCTCAAATCAACATCCAACTAAGAATCCCATCAAGGTTACAACAGAGGTGGTGACACCATAGTTCTACCAGCTGCTCAAGCACTGCTGGCAAAGCAGAGGGTTTCACCCCATGCAGGCACCTCACTCCTCATCCCACCTCACACTGCTGCTGCCTTGGCATGGCCACAGACTGAACTGGACTTTTCACCAAATCCAAGTTAAAGCTTGCCAACCAGTAATAAAGGAATAAACCACGTTGTGACACTAACTCTGCTCAGGTTCCACAGGAATGCTTTAGCAGTGACACACAAGGCAAAAAGGAGTAGCAGACCACCTCTTGGTGGAATGAGGAGCTTCCATAGCTCAGAAAAAGAGGAAGTCACCACCTCCACTCCCTTTACGTAAGGGAAGTTGATCTCAGAGAGCTTGTGGAAAATAGTAATAGCTCAGAATCAGCAGATATTTCAAATACATATCACTATTAAGACCAAGGCATGAATAGAAAAGTCGCAATAGTACAACTCATTACTGTGTAATGCCTTGGTATTGCTCTCACAGAGAAAATTATGCACTTGTACACTTTAAAACAAAATCCAACAACTTAAAAAAGTAAAAAAAAAAAACATGTAACTGAGAAATTAGTGTTAATGGACACTGCCCTTTACTGGTGCTGTCTCTATGCTTCAAATCAAGGATTTTAACCAGCAAAGTTGCTTTAAAATTTATAGAAGCACAACATTTAACCCCTCAGTTTGTTGAAAATGCAGATCACCAGAACAAGAACTCACTCACTAGCTGAGTATAAGAGAGGGACAGTTAATATACTCTTCACTACCAGTTCAGTATCTCAAACTTGTAGCATCAGTGTCACTGAAGTATCACCCACTTCAACATTTAAAAAAAATTTAAAAGAACCTATTTTAAATGTTGAGAGTTTTTACAGCATTGGAGAGAAGAAAGCACAGATAAACTCAACCTTTCAAAGACATACTTTGAAAAACTTCATAAAGATAAAACCTAATCTTGATGGGATTAGATATAGGGAATACCTCATCAAACAATACCACAGTCAATTATAATTGCTTCCATACAGCTAGCTTGCAGAACAACAGTGACTTAAATTAACTGCATGATACATGAACATTAACAGTTTCTTCTATCAAAACCAAAGCATAAATATTACTGCATCTGTTGGCTCCCATCCAAAGTGCTGCGTAAAGGTGCCCCAACTTCTGTGACTCATGGAATGCAACTTGCAAGAAAGCAGGATACTTAATGAAGCAAATAGTATGAAAAAAAAAAACCCTCACCCAAAGGTATTTCATTGCAAGAGCCACTTTCCCAAGATACATACCTATAGCCGCATGAAAGTGAGACAAAGCATCCGCTAGCTGTCCAGCAGCCAATAACTTCTTTCCCATTTCAAGTTGTTTTTCTACTTCTGCATTTATTCCACATTCAGCTCCTTAAAGAAAAACAAAAAGGTGGCGGTTTTGAATGACCGGTTGGATTATTCCAAATGCATACCATGATAATACAATACCTATAACAAACAGTTATTGGTATAGAGGCAGAAGTCACATCTTCCCATACTAAAACAACCTGCAGCCTAATAAACACATAGCATGTCTTCATTGCCCCAAAAAGGCTGTTAAAGTAAACAAACACCGTAAAGCACTGCATTGTGAGAAGGCACCAAACATGCATTTCTATTTCTGTCTATACATTCAGTAACATACTTTTGCACATCAAGCTTTATACATCAACTATAAAAACAGTCTGACAAAATACATTTCTATGTGGGCTTTCAATTTCGAAAGAATCTGGAAAAACACTCATAATGCACACACAGAAAATATAAAAAGGCTTTAAGTTTAGTTTCATGACCCTACTGATAACTTAGGACTCAACTGAGAACCGTTAGCTACTGCAGAGATTGGCTTCTTAACTACTGCACTTCTGCCTCATCTTTTCCATGGCAAACTGTTTCCAGAGCTAGAGCGCAAGTTTTGATACAGCCAATTAAAATTCTCACTCCCTTTTCATTTAGCCAGCAGTATGAAAATCATATTAAAGTGGTACACTTTCCAAGTGCCAGCTTTAGTTTAAAGCTTATAAATTGCTGCTGCTCAACCAACAGGGAAAGACTATTGTTGAGAAGAAATGAGCAGCTAAGGGCAAGTACATGCTGTACATATATCAATTCAGCCACAGAGGTTTTTGATTTGTACTGCTTCCAGAATTCTTCAAATCCAGACAGAATTTCACTACAACTTACCAGTTTATGACTATTAAAACTTTCTGTACTATAGACACTATAAACAGTTTTCTTTTACTAAGAGCATACCCTATGCATAAATTTAAGCAAGGTAATATATTAAAACCCTGAATAAATACATTACATTAGAAAACAACGAACTATGATTACTAGGAATCCATTTCCTTCACTCAGGTTTTGTATCGAGCTAATTCAGATAGGCATTTGAATTAATCTTTTATACAAAAATGCAGCAGCACTTTGAAATCGTTTTTTAGAGTCTGAATAAAAATGTTACACTACACAGATTGAAGGGAAGTATATCAAAACTTCTCACGCTAAAAGATGATTAAACAACAAAGTATTTGTAACGATGATCAGAAATTACTGTTCTTTCGAGTCATCAAGATTTTAGATCTAGGAGCTCTTAGCACCTGGGATCTTAATTTAATTTTCCTTTCCTACTCCTTAATACAGTTCATAATTCTTTTAATTCCACATTATGAGAAAATCATTGAGTTGACTATACTAAAATGAACAAAAAGCCCTCTGCATCCACTGGAAAAAGCTCTAGCTGCTAGAAGATTGATAACAATTCAGCAAACTGGATTCAAGGGCTTCGATTATTTGCTTTAGAACAATGACAGCAAACAAATTCATTTTTTAAGTTAATGGGAATTACTTTATAAATAAGTCCTAAATTTCCAGTCTAATTTTTTTTTGTTTAAATAGATGAAGTTAAAATAGTAATTCCTTATCATATAGTCAATTTGGAGATCTTATTAAAAAAAGGCATTTAAAAATCCATTCCAGGTATGTATAGCTCTGAATAAGATATAAATAGCTCAATATATAGTGGATAAGTATTTCTAGACAGTAATTTTTTTCACACACGGTATTCTACTTCAAGGAAGCTTTTATGTGAATGTCCAATTTTCAGAAAAATGGACATTCTTCTTGGCCATTTTGCTGTTTCTCTAGCTTAAAGCTTTGATCATCAAGTAGTCCAATGTCCTCTAAAATGACAAAGCAAGCACCAGAGGGGGGAAAAAACAAACCAAAACAACACAACAAGAAAACCAAACCAAAACTGGAAAACAAACCCACAAATTTCCCTGGCATTGGAAGTATACTAGCAACAAATAAGGCATTAAACCATAAACAGACTGAGTATTTAACATGAGTTAAAACAAGAAAAGAAGTTCTTATGCTTCATCCCTCCTGTCTCTCCCCATATATGAATATCTTTCAAAACCTGTCAGTTTGGAGTGATATCCTAGAAGAGGGCTATAAATTACTCTCTGATGAACCTTCCATCCACCTAAACATGGCATTCAATTTTCACAGAGTCTCAAGCATCTGAAGGAGTGTCCTTATTTCACATTTAGTCACATCAGGATAGCTCCAAGAATAGATTTTCCACAATAAGATGTACCTACACAATTCAGTCTTTCACACACATTATGTTCAGTACAGTTTTACAGTTACATAATACTTTAGGCAGGAGAGCCATCTTTTTCCTTGGAACTACTGAAGATAATAAACAAAGGAAATGAGAAAGGTGACCATTAATAGTAAATAACAAAAGTAGGAGTAACATGGATAGAGAAATAAGGCGAATTGTGAAGGTTCCCTGCAAAACAAGACTAATTATACAAGACATACATTAAAACTTGGCTCTGCACATTGCTGAACAGCATAAATTGATGTGGGAATCTCCAGAAGCAGCCACCATAGACAGTGTAACCATGATGAAAAGTGACATTTACCATAACTACTCAGGAACACTGTACACTGACCTGATAGTTGCGCTGTTCATTCATATAAATCTATTGCTTACTCATTATCTGGCAAACATTTCATTTTCTGTAGGCAAACAACTGCTCTAAATAAACCACCCCACAGCAGACACCTGAAAACCGTAAACATAGGCACAGGAGTCTAAGGACTCAGATTCTGTGTAACTTACTCGGGTACCCATTCACGCTTTGGTCTGGGAATGGATGTAAGGACTCGAGTTCAACTGGAGGAAAAAAAACCAACCAGCCCCACAGAACTCTTTCCAACAGATAAGACAGTCATTAGCAAGCTGGATACCAAGGGCTCAGCACTACGGCTGAAGAAGCTTTGTATGCTCCAGCAAGGAACTTAACTTATGCAAGAGATATGCAAGCATTTTTAAAACTTCCACCAAGTATTTTAATTTTAATATTATTTCTAATGCCTGCCTAATTGTTATCTATTGACCAAGGGCCTCAGACAACCACACAGGAAAGCCCCAGCTGTCAAATCGAGGTAGATACTCTGGATAAATTCAGTCTGACATTCTGGCACTGATGTGAGAGTGGAACAATAAAAAAAAAACTCAAAAAAACAACTAACAAAACAGAAACAAACAACCCACCCAAAACCCAACAAAAAACCCCCACTGTTCCCAGGTAAGAATTGGTACCAGCCCTGACAACTCAAAGGAAGCCAATCAGAAGGCACAGGAAAGATAAGCAGGTGCAGCTAACCTGTTTTTCCAGTTAAATACACTCACTTCAAATAAATTATAACTTCCTGGTAGGATAACTGGTGCTAATATGTGGGTACCTAAGCATACAAACTTCAAGTCTATCCTCATATAATCAGTCACATCCACAGTGTAAAAAGCTTAAGAAAGCCCTCCAGCTTGAAACATTTCAAGATTTTACATTTGTCTGCATGCTGTTATTTTTCACCCTGTAGAATTTCCACATACTTTTTTTTTTAAATCTTGCTCCCAAGGTGGGTAAGGGGACTATGAAAATAAACAGAATTAGTTCCAACTGTGAAACAGAATTGTTTCAAAGACAAAGAAGAAACTTGCATGTCACTGATATTAATTACAATGATCTAAGCTTTTTTTTTTTTGTTACACATAGAAGAGCTTGATGATTGTCTTGTCACATGAGTGGGAGATCCTGCTTTTCGTGTGTTTCTTGATCAGAATGATTCTGGGTTTAGTGTAAAAAGTCTTAAGTTTGCTGTTATTTTTAAACAAGTTTGGACTTCGCTTTTAAGTGTGTTTTTCAAGGACAAGACTGAACAAAGTAAGAAGCAGACAAGCAACCACAGTTTCAGGAACAATACAAAAAGGCTCACAAGAAGCCTCAGAGCATCCAGTCGAGCCATGTGTAACCACCCATCAAGTTTTTACTCTCTCGGTTTGCAAAGACTGACAAACCAAAAAGCCACCCCCAGCCTTCCCAAGTACCCTTTGCTATTTAGGGTGAGAAAAAAAAACCCCTCCCAAACTCAGGGAAGAAACATGGTTTGTGGGATGGGGGTGAGAGAAACACATAAGGCTAGTGGTCTGACATGAACAAACTGAGCTCTGTATACTCAAAGCCCATTTCTTCTTCCTCTTATTACTTTTCCTTTCTCTTACTACTAGGAAGAAGAGGGAGAAGAGGAACAATACTCCTCTATCCTCCTTAGTGGCCTTTTTGTTGCGGTTAGCATGGACAAACAGCCATGAAGGATCAATCTTCCCAAGAGGTGATCTGCATCAAATGGGAACTTGTTCAGCGCAAGTCGGGGTATTTGAACAGAAGAAATTCAGGAAATGCAACAGTAAGGGCTGAACTGCAACCTGCCACATCACCAAGTATTCAAAAACCTTTTTACTGAACTCATTTACCAGCCAGTTATAAATTAGTATTAATAGATAACGACTGTAAGATACAAAGTTAATACAGGCTGACTGTTCCACCGATTAGTGAATCAGATGGCACAAAGCAGACTTCTATTATCAAGACAGCAAGATGCAAATTTAAATGTGAATATGAACACCTTCTGAGTTCAAAGACTGGATGGGGAAAAAAAAATAATCCAGATACTTAAATACTATAAGCCCCCTAAATTCCCTAACTACATACTCTCAAAAATGAACTCATGAACTAAGAGGTCAGTAAGTTCAGTAAATAAGATCCAGAACCATCACTCTTCATTCTATTTACTGCACTATACATCTTTATGAACCGAAGTTAAGAAAAATATACCCCAAATTAAGAAACGTGGCTTTGGTAAGTCCA